AACTCGACATCCCGGTGCATCTTCCGAGGCAGGCAGGCGGGCTGGCAGGCGCCGACGTACGCCTCAGAGAGCGGCCCCCTGAGAGCCCGGCGGGGGCCCCACGGCGCCGCAACTGTAACGGGACTGTCATTAGGCTCTCTGCACGAACCAGGCTGCCCCCGCCGGGGGGGGGAGGGGCGAGGGGGGGGAGATGGGGCAGAGAGGCGAGGTGGAGGGCGAGTAGGGAAGGGGGGGGAGGAGGAGGAGGAGGAGGAGGGAGGAGGAGGAGGAGGAGGAGGAGAGGAGGAGGAGGAGGAGGAGGAGGAGGAGGGAGGAGGAGGAGGAGGAGGAGGAGGAGGAGGAGGAGGAGGAGGGGGGAGGAGGAGAGGAGGAGGAGGAGGAGGAGGAGGAGAGAGGAGGAGGAGGAGGAGGAGGAGGAGGAGGAGGAGGAGGAGGAGGAGGAGGAGGAGGAGGAGGAGGAGGAGGATTTGATTCCACCGATGCTGTCAGCCCACTGAATGTGAGCGGGGCCCCGTGGCACGAGACCCCCCCCCTCCCGGGGGGGTTCGTGCCGCGGGGCCGCCGACGACCCGGTTTCCCTCCCCCCCTGCTGCTCGGCGGTGGACAAAACGACAAACCTCCCTGTACTTTCGTAAACCTCCCCTTAGTGAAGACGGCCTAGGGACCGAAATCGACGGACCTGGACCCGCAAAAATGACGGCCGCGACGCCCTCTCGCGAACCGAAAACGCCCAATTCCGTGATCGACGTGTCAGGGTAGGAGGTCTGTCCACCCCCGACCTGCCCTTTCCCGGGGGGAATGACGACCCGGACCCCCCTCCCCAGTGGGAGTGGGCGGGCCTGTGGGATGTGGGCGTGGGGTGAGGGGAGGTTGAGACGAACGAGGCTCCGAATCCGCTCTCGCGTCCGGTGGGGGGGGTCAGGATCTGTTCCTGCCGTCGGTCGCCGGCTGCGAGCGCTGCAGCACTGGAGCTCTGCGCCTTCTCTCCACGCCCGATGCGAAATCGTGTGATGTCCATGGCCGGCAGGGCCTCGGGGGATCTTACCATTCACTGCGCACGCACCCTCAGTCGGGCCACGGTGCTATCTGCATGAGTTTGCCTTCTGCCTATCGCAGGTCGGTGCGTGTAAAACAGGGCTAGGATCGGGATAAATCGCTCCAGAGCGTTCCGGAGCGCTCTCAGAGCGTTCCGGAACGCTCTGGAGCGGCCGCGGCGCCCAATACATCCTCCAAACCCGCCGATTCTCAGAGATTTCGAGTTATCCCGATCCGATTTTGTCCCGATCTTCGCGTCGTTTTACCCCCATTGCCTGGCGACCTTTTTCATGTTCTGCACCGCGCATCCCGAGGGGGACTCATGCCGGCCCGCAACGGCGGTGGTGCCATGCGTGCTGGGGGGGTTTGCGCATCCTTCGGGCTTCGTACCGGCCAACACTCGGGGATGGACAGACCCCCCTTTAGTAGAACGTGGTTTAGTGAAAACGACCTGAGGCCCAAACCTGGCGGGCGCAAGCCTGGAAAATAACGGCCACGGCGCCCTCTCGAGAACCGAAAACGGACAATTCACTAATCGACGTGTCACTGTTGGGGGTTCTGTCCACCCCCGACACACCGGCGGAGCCTGGAGGGCGATCCTGGGGGGTTCGTGCATCGCGGGGGGGTTCTGACTACCTACCAGACCACCCCAACCGAACCCGAAGACCCGAATTTCGGCTTGGGGGGGTCAGGGTTCCACAGGCGTCTTTTCGATGTTTCCCGACCCCCCCCCACTGGAAATCGAGGGCAAATCTGAGCCTCCGGGTTGGGTTGGGGTGGTTTGGTGGGTGGTGAGGTTCGCGCATCCTGGGGGGGTTCGTACTGGCCCGCACCGGCGGTGCCGCCAGCACGAACCCCCCCCAAAGGGGCGACCCAGGGGAGGTCGCTCCGCACCGGGCACCGCTCACATGAATTTGAACATGGGGCGCCATGCAAAAGCCAAGAAACGTTCGCCTCGCACACGCTTGCGCGATACTACTGATCACCTCGGCCACAGTTCCAAATTGCATATCAATTCAAAAACTCGTCGGTTTTGCTCAGCGGGTCTCGGGCCCCAGTGTGACACTTGGTGCACAGTCTCGTTCAAATACAGTAACGACGACTGAACTCACATCGCTGCCCCACGTCATCCCTTCACAACTTGGTTTAATTAAGATTCGGGAGTTTTGATTTGCACTCCACAGATGGGCTTCCGAATAGTTCCAGCACCATCTATACGTTCCGCGTTTCGCTGTTAGCATCGATGAGCAACTCGACATGTGTCTGGATGCTCGCTATAAGATCGTCGATTGTGGCCCCGCCTCCTTGATCATTCCACTTTCACTAGATACATGACGTGCCTGACAAGAAGGGGCTCATCTCGACTCTGCTCGTCTCTGTTGACACTATCACGAGCGAAGATCTGCTCCACAAGTGCAACCTTAGGAACTTCGACGACTCGCTCGACGTACTCAAGTCTTGCACCTCAACATCACAGGCTGCCCCTTGTGTTGCCACCAACCATGGGCTCCACTTGGACAGGGTGCTGGCAATATTGTTTGGCCGGCACTTCTGCTAGCAAAGTGTGGGGCTCGATCTCGCCCAGCCGGCAGATTACAGTGCAGGCGCGGCCGCAAGAAACCCTCGCAAGAAACCCAACCCTGAGAGCCCGCGCGCGAGTTACACCTCAGGGGAAACCCGGAGCACCCTTGACGCAGCAGCTCCTTCAACGGCTGCGGGAAGTCACCGCGCAGCGCGAGGAGCGAAGAAACCCAGGATACCCTGGCGGAGGAGGAGGAGGAGGAGGAGGAGGAGGAGGAGGAGGATACCCTGGCGAAAAGCATCTGGTTTCTTGATGCGCGCCCCCACCGCAGTTGCTCGATATCGCGCCGAGCTGCTCCGTGCTCGCTGCTGCGAGCTCTCTGCGCTCCCGCCTCGGGTCCGGTCTGGATTGCCAGAAAGCGGTTCCAAACACACACCTGCACTGTTCATCGCTCAAAAATAACCAAAAAACTAGTCTGGGGACGATGTTTCCATGATTTTTGGACCATTTGGGGGCATGTATCTTTTTTTGAAAACAACTATTTGTCATCCGAAATCCGCCTGTAGGGGACATGCCCGACCTAAGCCGAGCTGCTCCGTGCTCACTTCTGCGAGCTTTCTGCGCTCCCGCGTCGGGTCCGGTCTGTATCGCCAGAGCTGCTCCGAACAAACACCTGCACTGCTCCTCGCTTCGTGTCATCGCCTCTTGGCCAACACCGTGGCACAGATTCGATGGACGAGGGGGGGCTGGCTTCGAAAGATGACACGCCATAAGCACAAGCTGTTGAGGCTCCGCGTGGATTTCTTGGATCTGCGCTGGGCCCCCCTCCCTGGCGCGCGGAGCGCGCCAGGGGCGGCGCCGGAGGCGCCGCCGGGAGGGCCCAGCGTGGATCCATGAAGTCCGCGCGGAGCGCCGAAAATTTACGTTTATGGCGTTCTTTCTTCTTCGATAGCTGAGGGGTCCAGCGCAGAACCAAGAGATCCGCGGGGAGCGCCCAAAGTTTGTGTTCGTGGCGCTGCTTTGTTTTGCTCCTCTTCGATTGCTGACTGATGAGGCTGAGCCTCAATGGATGCGCGTCCGGAGAGCAGGATTGGTGCCCTCGACCCCCGACCGCCGAGCCTCGAGCCTCGACCCCCGACCCCCGAGGTTGAGATCAAGAGAGAGCACGGCGCGCCCGATCCCCACGGGGGCGGGGGGTAAGGGGCGCAGGAGCAGGAGGAGGTAGGCCCTCTGGCCCAGCTGGGGCCCCAAAAAGGTAAAGACACGAGAGAGATGAGGAGGAGGAGCAGGAGGAGGAGGAGGGGGAGGAGGAGGAGGAGGAGGAGGTGAAGGAGGAGGAGGAGGAGGAGGAGGAGGAGGCGGAGGCAGAGGAGGAGGGAGGAGGAGGAGGACCAGTGTAAACCCAAGAGTCCTCAACGATGTTGGAATACACCCTCCCTCCAAGCTCCCTCTTCATAAGGGGCCTACAGCGGTTCATTCCATTGAAGGAACTGCCTCGTTGGAAGACAACCGTTTAAAGACCCGGAAGCATGCTAAAACATTGTCCATGGGATTCCAACGCCATGGATCAACCTGACTGTTGCGTCTTGACGATCCCGGATCGTGCCAGAACGCCACTCTTGGGACTTCACCATGGGAATCCGTGAAACTCTTGCAACTGTTATAAAAAAATGTTGGCGGCGCTGGGGCGAGAACCACATGTTGAAGAGGAACCGCCCTCAATCCCCGAAACGCCTGCAAATTTTTGAAACGAGAATGCGCGGGTCGAAGGAGCCCAACGTGAAAGCCATACGCCCTCAATCCGTGAAACTCTTGCAAATGTTTACAACGAATATGCGCGGCGCGAAGGCGAGAGCCATTTTGAAAACCACCCGCCCTCCAGATGTGAAGTTGTTGCCAAATCGTAAGCTTCAGAGTCAAACATGGTGAGGAAATCTCAGGCGAAACGCCGGGCCGCACTAAAAACTGGCCTCGGGGTGCGACAGGGAAAATGTACTATGTATAATGAACGGTAATGGAGGAGGAGGCGGAGGAGGAGGTGCATGAGAAAGAGGAGGAGGATCACGTCCCTCCGTGCAGCCTAAACTCGGCTCACACACAGACACAGACACAGACACAGACACAGACACAGACACAGACACAGACACAGACACAGACACAGACACAGACACAGACACAGACACAGACACAGACACACACACACACACAGACACACACACAGACACACACAGACACACACACAGACACACACAGACACACACACACAGACACACACAGACACACACAGACACACACAGACACACACAGACACACACACACACACCGAAGTGCCCACCCAAACCGCCGCCTCAATGAGCTCGCAACCCTGGAACACCCAGGGCGACCAGGCGGGTGCCCTGGCCCGTGCAGACACCCACCGCCGCCCGCCACTGGGTGTTTTGAGCCCCGCGACGGCAGGAGTGGCGGAGCCCCGAGATCCTCGACTGCCCCCGACCCGCCGCGCGCACAGCCAGGCGATGTCAGCCCCCAGGCCCAGACACCAGGACCTCGTCCCTCTCACCGCGGCGCAGACTTGGAAAGCCTACGACTGCGTTTCATTCGTTCCTCCAGGGTCAAACAAGCCTGGGGTGATGAACGGGAGGCTACCAGCCTGAAGGTGGAGCACGAGAAGGACGAGGAGCAGGCAAGAAGAGGGTGAGGAGGAGGAGGAGAAAGGACGAGGTGCAGGCAGGAGGAGGAGGAGATACAGGAGGGGGAGGAGGAAGTGCAGGAGGAGCAGGGGGAAGAGGAGGAGGAGGGGAGGAGGAGGAGGAGGGAGTTGAGAGGAGGAGGGAGGAGGAAAGAGGGAGGAGGAGCAGGAGGAGGAGGTGCAGGAGGAGCAGGAGCAGCACGAGGAGGAGGAGCTCGGCCCTCGGCCGCTGCTCTTCGGCCGGAGCGCGCGGGCCGCCGCCAGGGCGGGACGCCGCCCCGCCCGCGCGCCGCGGGAAGGCCCCCTTCGGGGCAGAGCGGCCGCAGGGAGGGGGGCCCTCCGTTTGGCGGCGCCCACGATCGGGGGCGCGCAAACATGCATCGGGGGAGGTGCCCTCTCCAAGATGTGGCTGGTGCCGCCTCGCTCGGCGGCGGAAATCCGTCGCTAATCCACGCCCCTCCTAATCCATGCTTGCGATCGCCTGACACGATGAGGAGGACCAGGCCAGGACCCGAACTCGCGAGACCCGAAGGTTCGATAGAGAGCAGGACTTCCACACCCATGCTAAGCACCCCGGCAAGCGAAGCCGTCTGGTAAACGCACCCAGGGAAGGAATCGAACAGGGCGGGGCTGCTTGGTAAACGCTCAGGGCCGTTTAGTAAACGACAAGCATCGTGGTCGGGGTGTTTTTTCCTCACTTGAGGTAAGAGTGGCCTTGAAACGACGCGACGGAGCAGCGAGGAACGCGAATCGGATCTAGAATCTAGAGGCATGACACAAGAGACAATAGGCCATGGACGCGCCAGCTCTGCAGGGGGGATGCCCTCTGGCCCAGCTCGGGCCCCAACAGGGAAAGACACTAGAAGGATGATGATGAGGAGGAGAGATGAGGAGGAGGGACGAGGAGGAGGGAGGAGGGAGGAGGAGGTGCAGGATGAGGAGAACTTTCGGAGCTCCGCGCGGATTGCTTGGATCGGCGCTGGCGAGCTCCGCGCGCCAGGGAGGGGGGTCCAGCGCCGATCCAAGAAATCTGGGCGCACCTCCGAGTTGTCATGTTTATTTCGTTGTTTGTTCTCCGAGACACTGGCGCTGGCTTCTAACACCGCGTTGGTCGTTCAACCTTAAACGATCGACGGCTTTTCGGTCGTCAGATTGTGCCAGATTGGCCGATTCTGGGCCACTCTCGGCGATACCAACCTTAGAGGCCCGTGGTGGGGTCATGCTTCGTCCACCGAGTTAGAGGCCTCCCAGATGGTGTCGGAGTAGATGGGGTCGGAGTAGATGGGAGCGGAGGATTGCGCCGCATCAGCGATGCATCGGCGATGCATTGGCGATGCATGGGCGAGGCGATGCATCGGCGACCTCGGCGTGGAGAAAATCGGGCTCCACACCGAGCCGCATCGCCGATGCATCGGCGATGCGGCGCCATCCTCCGATGATTCGCCGATGCATCGGCGAAGCATCGAGACCAGATTTCGAGAGCAGGGCGGAGATTTCTCCCCACCCTCCAGGACCTCCCACGTCGATCGTCGCAAGGCCGACACGTGTTCGGGAGTGTTCGTCGTTGCGCGAAGGTCTTCCTGGGGGCACCCTGAATGTTCCTCAATTTGGGCCGGCGGAGGGTCTCGTCCTAGGTCCGACCGTCGTTGAACTCCCATGTGCAACTTGTCTCAGGAATGCGCCACGAATGATGCGAACGATGCAAACGTTCCTGGGAGAGGGAGGGGATGAGGGTGGTGGTGGTGGTGGTGGTGGTGGTGGTGGTGGTGGTGGTGGTGGGGTGGTGGCGGTGGCGGTGGTGGTGTATAGCTTTGGGCCCCGTAGGGAGAGGGCGCCGGCCGAGCTCGCTCGCGGAGCGCCCCGCCGGCACCGCCGTGTGGGGGGTGAGGAGGGCTGTTGGCGAAGCGGCGCGCCAAGCGCCGCTGCCCGCTGGCCCAGCTCTCCGACGGCACTCGTCTACATCTCCTTTTCCTGCTCCTGCTCCTGCTCCTCCTCCTCCTCCTCCTCCTCCTCCTCCTGCTCCTCCTCCTCTTCCTCCTCCTCCTCCTCCTGCTCCTGCTCCTCCTCCTCCTCATCATCATCATCACCCTGCTCCTGCTCCTCCTCATCCTCCTCCTCCTCCTCCTCCTCCTCCTCCTCCTCCTCCTGCTGCTCCTGCTGCTGCTGCTGCTGCTGCTGCTGCTCCTCCTCCTCCTCCTCCTCCTCCTCCTTCCTGCTGCTAGCTGCTGCTGCTGCTGCTGCTGCTGCTTGCTGCTGCTGCTGCTCCTGCTCCTGCTCCTGCTCCTGCTCCTGCTCCTGCTCCTGCTCCTGCTCCTGTTCCTGCTCCTGCTCCTGCTCCTGCTCCTGCTCTGTCCTCCTCCTCCTCCTCCTCCTCCTCCTCCCCCTCCTCCTCCTCCTCCTCCTCCTCCTCCTCCTCCTCCTCCTCCTCCTTCTCCTCCCCGAACCGACCTCGACCTCGTCCTCCTCCCCGAACCGACCTCGATCCCATTACCTCGGTCAGCCTTTGAGGTGCGGCGGCTCCGAAGCCAGGAAGGGGGTTTGAGCGAGGGGGGGGGCAGGGCCGAGGCCTCCTCCAAGGGCCCCAGGAGGCTTCGAAGAGGGCCGAGGCCTCCTCCAAGGGCCCCAGGGGCTTCCAAGTAGGCCGAGGCCTCCTCCAAGGGCCCCAGGAGGCTTCGAAGAGGGCCGAGGCCTCCTCCAAGGGCCCCAGAGGCTTCGACGAGGGCCGAGCCAGAGGCTTCGAAGAGAGCCGAGGCCTCCTCCAAGGGCCTGAGAGGCTTCCAAGAGGGCTTCGTAGAGGCTGGGCGGGCCTTCTGACCCCCCCCCTGCCTTCCTAGAGCTCCCGCCGCCCTCTTAGAAACCCACCCCTCTGAGATCCGACGTCACGGAACACTTGCGGCATGGCAGACATCCCGACCTGAGCGCTGAGCCCCACCCTTCTGCTGCACTCTTCGAGCTGGATCGCTCCGCGTGGGTCCCTGGGCCAGACACTGGACACAGACGCCCGGTGGGAGAAAGGCACCAAGCCCAGATCGCAGGGGCCATCGCGCCACCCCCTCATGGGCGCCGCCAATTCGGGAAGATCGCCGCGCGCGCGTGCGCCCGCGCGCAAGCGCGCAGCGAGCAGGCCGTACACTTGGTAGGGCATCGGGCGGAGGAGGGCGGAGGGCGAGGGGTAGGGGAACAAAAGTGGCATGAACATAAAAACTCGGAGGTCCGCGCGGATTTCTCGGATCGGCGCTGGGGCCCCCCGGCGGCGCCTCCGGCGCCGCCCCTGGCGCGCTCCGCGCGCCAGGGAGGGGGGTCCAGCGCCGATCCGAGAAATCCGCGCGGACCTCCGAGTTTTTATGTTTATGTCACTTTTTGTTCCCCTAAGGGGGGCTCTGAGATCCAGGCACTGCGATTCCTTCGAGGTCCGAGGTGTTGCCGGGCCCTGGCGGACTCCCAGCCTCGGGGCGCTCTCTGGCAACTGCGCCCCGCCGCGGAACGTCCTGGAGGTGCCCGGGTCGTCCCGGGCGGCCGCCGGAGCCGAGTCATGACCCGCAGCCCGCCGACATCCCGGCGTGGCAGCTGCTGTCATGCCGGGCGTCTTCGCCCGGACGCGGGCCCATCGCGGGTCGCTCTGGCTCGAAAAAACCGCAGAAAGATGGGGCCGAGGGCTCCGGGTGCAACCCCCCGCGTTGTCACCCAGTTTCGGGCCCCGGGCAATCACGCATCGGCCCAGATAGAGAACTGCCGCAGAAAGAGAGGGGGCTGCGGCGTTGCTATTGTTTCGCAGCGTCGGGAGGGCGAGAGAAGGGGAGGGGGAGAAGAGGGGAGGACGAGGAGGAGAGAGGAGGGGAGAGGAGGGGAGAG